GGGGGGGGGGGGGGGGGGGGGGGGGGGGAGGAGGAGGGGGAAGCGAAACCAAATTTGTTTTGAGAAATTGCACTGAAAGCGTAATTCTGGATTTTGAGACGTTGAAATTTGGCTTTTTTAGTGGGCATATCGCAAACTATAGACCCTAACCCCTTTTCGATTCGTCCATTCATTTCTATGATAATTTGGTACTGAGATTTGACAGGGAATCGGACCTATCGAAAGTCTTACCAGCGAGTGGTTGCTTTTGGCATGTGCTACCACTGGAATTACTTCCAAGCACCTTCTCGTTTCAGCTGGAGAGTTATATTAAAATTTATTGGAAATAGTAGCAGAAGAGGAAGTTGGTATGTTCCCAGTGTCGTTTTTGTTCTTATTTCACATCTGAGCATTCGGGATTTTTCAAAATTGAATTGTTGCTGCTACAGATCATTGCACTGGTTGTGTTGCTGCTGATTTATCTGCAAGACAAAGGCGTTCGAGCGAGCTACTCCACCACCTACATTATCATCTCGCTCACCTGTGGCCTGCTACTCGGATGGAGCATTGGCTCCGTTCTACAGCAAGTATTCTTCATCCGCACTGTTGTAAGTTTTGAATTTTTTTCAGAAATTTGTGTTCAATTTAGAACAAAGGTATCGCGCTTCTACCTTTTTTGCTCCAGTAGAATTACGAATACTACATTTTCTTTTTTACAGCAGCTTTTTGCAAATTTTTGACAATATGCAAAATAAACCAGATGACTGGTGCAAAAAAAACATAATTTTTTTTTGTTCTGAATTACTGCTTCGTTTATACATTGCTTCTTTGCTTTGCGCCGGCCTTCTGTTATAAATCTGGTATGTTGCTGTCTTTTCAAAAAAGTTTTCTCCCTTGCCCAACGGTATTGCCCTGTTTGTTGGTAAACTAAGACTATAAAAAACAAAAAAAAAAAAAACGAATATTGTCATAAGTAATCAGATAAATTGATGGCCTACCTAGGGCAGTGGGAATGATTTCACAAAAGGCACACTTTTTATTTATAATGCTCTGCGTACCACCTCATGATTTATCGTCATCGAAAAACATTTAATAAATGTAACAAATATACTTCCCAAGCTTCCTTTACTTCGATATTAATGCCATCTTTGCCAGGAGTTTTCTGCCTTTAATCTGGAAAGCTGCATATTTTATCTCACTGATAAGCACAAGAGGTGTTTGCCGCCTGGTGGCACGAATTACAGATGCTGGCATGTCAGAACATGATACAGATTTGTATAGAATTTTCTACAGATGTTCTGAATCGTTTTTCAACCTTCTGGCCTGAAATATAAAATCTTCCGCAACATTTCTTGACTGCTCTGCTTGAAATACGGTATCTCCCCAAATTTTAAGCATCGCCATTTCCATGAATCGTTCAAATTCGCATTCAGAGGTAGGGTGACTTTTCAGTTTTCATGACTATTGTGATTCATTTGGAATTTCTTGTCTCCGAATGGACGATTTTAGTATATCACTGGTAGAAAAGTACTGGCCTGCTCATCCTCCTCGATTATTTATTATCACTAGTTTTACTCACTTCGCTTTACCGCATTTTTATCCACAGGCCGTCGTCCTCTGTTCGGCGAGTAGTTTTTCTGATATTTAAAGAAACAGAAGAGTAATGCGAAAAGATCCCAGCGAGTTACCATGTACAGGGACCACAGCCGTGAATAATGGGACAACTACTTCTCACATGATTTTTGCTAAGGAATCACTGCTTTCCAGGAGATAATCGTCAATACGGTTCTCACGGTGCTCGCCATATGTTCGCTTATCGTTGCAGTGTCATTTTTGCTGGAGCGAAGTGACTGGAGTCGTTACGAAAGTTATCGGCTAATGGTCGGAACAGCCGTAAGTTATTTCCAAATAAATATTCGTCCTGGTCTATTAGCTCCACATTTTATCTATACTTCGGAATGTTCCTTCCAGACAAAATATGTTAGGTCCCTGCGTGGCCTTTGACTGCAGCAGCGCAAGGCAGTGAAAAGTGTCAGCACTTTATCTACTAACAAAAGCTTCACTTCAATGGACGGGTGGCAGTTAGTACGGAGAAAGGGAAAGGAAGGATATTTAGTAAATCCAAACTAATCCTACTGCCCATTTGGCTGATTTCTGTGCCTTTCTAGCCAGATTT